CGGGGCGCTCCGAGGCGAGGGGCTGCCGCCTGGCCCTTCTGGCCCGGGCAGCTGCGGGGCCGTCGGCCGCGCGCGGCGGCAGTGACGGAGTCGACGCCCGCCGCGGGGCCCGAGGCCGACGACGACGGAGGCGACGCGGAGGCCGCCCTCCCCCCCGAGGGAGCAGTCAGCACCAAGGATCCCCAAGGGGTTCCCGAAGGATTCCCAAAGGATCCCCTAAGGATTCCCTAAGGATTCCCTAAGGATTCCCCAAGGATCCCCTAAGGATTCCCTAAGGATTCCCCAAGGATCCCCTAAGGATCCCCTAAGGATCCCCTAAGGATTCCCTAAGGATTCCCTAAGGATTCCCTAAGGATTCCCTAAGGATTCCCAAAGGATTCCCTAAGGATTCCCTAAGGATTCCCAAAGGATTCCCTAAAGATTCCCTAAGGATTCCCTAAGGATTCCTTAAGGATCCCCTAAGGATTCCTTAAGTATTCCCAAAAGGAATAGTCAGCACGGGCTGGGGCGGGCCCATTCTGCAACGCCCGAAGAGGTACTTCTTCAGGCCTCAAGTTCGGGGGGGTGGGGGCAGCAGCAGATAGCACAGGTTCCTGCTCGTCCGAATTGTTACTCCTTGGGAGGCTTGTGCTGACTATTCGTTCGGGAATCCCAGGGGCCCCCGGAGGCCGAATTTGGCCAACAGCCTCCCGTCGCGATGTTCTGTTACGACGCGAGCATGTCGGGGTCACTTCCCCCTGCCACCCCCTCGCTCACCGCCGATTCTTAAGAGCGTCGCACCTACTAGCTGGCGGCGCGCACCAAGGGGGTGGAGGGAGCGGGGAGGTCTTCTTAGGAGGAGGCTGCTCCTTAGAAGGCGCCAGCCTCGTACATCTGTAGGTCAAGCCCGTGCCTTCTGAGAAGCAGGGGTGCTTCCGAGAAGCCCCCCCCCTCACCCCACCCCGCTCTGCGCGTGGCCGAGCTAGGGTTAGGTCGGGCACGTCCCCCTACAGGCGGACAGTGGACGAAGACTTGAACCTTCCCCAAAAACATACCAAAAGATAATCCAAACATCGTTTTTGACCATTTCTGAATATTCCTCCTGCCGACTTGGGAGTTCTTCGTTCCCCCTCCCTGACTGCTGGTCCGCAGTGGTGCTTAGCGCCCGCTGTTCTGATGGCGGGCGCTGGGGGTCAACGTGAAGCCCCCAGCAGTTGAGATGCGGGCTCTCTGCCGGCCCATTCTACTCCGAGTCTCTCAACAAGCGTGGGGGGGGCGTCACCCCCGCCGACAGCCCCACATCGATCCCCGTCGCGGGCAGCCACCGCGCGCCGAAGGCGCTCCGGCCCACGTCGCGGCGCGACGACGAGGCGACGACAGGCCCGACTCAAAACTGGGGGCGAGTGCGTCCCGGCCGCCGGCCGTCGACACACCGCGCGCTTCCCCGGGCGGCGGCAGCCCGCTGGCGGCTGGGCCCCCCGAGGGCCGCCACAGGCGGCACCCCTCCTCCCCCTCCTCCTTCCACTCCTCCCCCGACGTCGGATCTCAGGATCCCTCCTCCTGCTCCTGCTCCTCCTCCTCCTCCGCCGCCGCCCTCCTCCTCCTCCTCCCCCTCCTCCCTCCTCCCTCCTCCCTCCTCCCTCCTCCCGCCTCACTCCTCCCTCCTCCTCCCCCTCCCCCCTCCTCCCCCTCCCCCCTGCTACCCCTCCTCCTTCTGCCCGGCCCGTCGGTGGCGGCCAGTGCCGCGCCGCCCTGGCGGTTGGGCGCCGGCCGTCCATCGGGCGGCCGCTGGCCGTCGGCGTGCCCAGGCCCCCGCGGGTAACCCCAAAGGGTCTGCAAGACACCCCCGGGCAGTAATGGGAAAATGAATCATTTGTCCGCCCGCTTATCGACGGACTGGGACGCCGACCATAGATGGAAATTGATGATTCTCGCCGGCGGATGCATGAGAGGTCATGCGAAGTGCTCAAAAATCCCATCGCTCAACGCCTGGCGGCCTCCTCCTCCTCCTCGTCCTCCTCCTCGGCCTCCTCCTCTCCTCTTCGACCACCACCTCCCCTCGCCCTCATCCTTCCAGACCTTCCGTGCTGACCTTCCACACTCTTGCGCTTCGTGAAACGCTGACTTATCCTGCGTTTCCTGAGGCGTTCAATAGTTTCAATGCATCACCTTCCGCGCCTTTCGCAGAGGTCGGAAGGTATGGGAGATGGAGGTGGAGGGTCCTCCGAACAGGAGGAGGGATGGGGAAGGAGGAGGAGGAGGAGGAGGGACGAGCTTCTATTCCCCGCCGAGAGCTTAGGGGGGGTGCATCATTAAAGACCCTCTGCGGTTAAGGGAAGAATCGCGACGGGAGGTGTTTCGCTATCTTCGACCTCCGGGGGCCCTTGCCGGGCCCCGCGGGACGGTCTGAAAACGCCTCGGGGTGAAGACTCGGTCCCGGGGAAGTGGTCGAAACAGCTGGGGGCGCCCAGGTCATGCAAAAAAAACAATGACGCCGGGGGTCGGGGTCCCCCGAGATCCTGGCGATCCCTGCTTGCTTCTCGTTCCCTGTCTCCTGCCCCCCAGGCCTCCCCTCGAGGGCCATGGGCAGGCAAACCCTGGCGGGAGGTGCTTCGCTATGTGTTCGGCCTCGGGGCGCCCTCGCCTAATTAACCCCGGGGCCGTCAAGAAACGGCCCAGGAAGAGAAACGGGTCCCAGGGAATGGGTCGAGACCTCTGCACGAAGCCCAATCCCAGGCGTGCGACCTCGTGACTTTTTTCCCGCACGCGGTCCCCAGAAGTCCCCGGGACTGCTGCTCCTCCTCCTGGGCCGTGGCTTGCGGGGCCCCCCGAGAGGCCGCAGACGGCCAGAGGCCTCCCGTCGCGACTTCTGCACGACGGCGGCGCAGGCCGGCGCGGCCACAGCGGGCTGCACCGCGGCGCCCGCCGTCGCGGCGGAGAGCTCCCGCCGTCACCCCCTCCTCGCTCTCCTCCTCCTCCTCCTCCTCCCCCTTCCCCTCCCCTCCTCATTCTCCTCCTTCTCCTCCTCCTCCTCCTTCTCCTCCTCCTCCTCCTAGTCTTCATAGTCCTCCTCCCGGCTGCTGCCGTCGGCGCTGCCTCCTGGTCCCGCGGCGGCGGCTCTCCGGGGCCGTGCCCGCGCGCCGGCGGCTCGATCCGTCGCCCAGCAACCGGGGCCGCCGGCGGCCGTCCCCCGCGAGGTCCGCCGCCGCAGAGAGGTGTCACAGTTGGTCGGGCACGTCCCTCTACAGGAAGGCTTTGGAGGGGAAAAAGAAAAATGCCCCCCAAAGACCCCAAATGCCCCAAATAATATAATAAATGAATAAAACTAATAAGAATTCGAAAGCCAAAGTTTGGCTTGATACAAAGAATAACAATGCCCCAAATAGTCCCCCGCGGACCATTGTTGGACTAGTTCTGCAGCTTCCTCCCGTGGAGGGACATGCCCGACTTCAACCAAGATGTCACGTCGCGAAAACGCACGGCTGGAGACCCAGCCCCAGTCATGGTTGGTTGCCCCCAGAATGGGGTCCAGCTGAAAGGGGGTGGTGCAACAGGTTTGGGGCGATGGGATTGCGAACGTGTTGCGCCAGAGAAGTGTATTGCATTGCATTGCAACCAAAACATTGCACGCGAAACCCCAGCAATGTATTCCCGCACCGGAATGTATTGCACACACCCCATATCTATGGCAACCCCACAAATCGATTGCACCACATCTATTGCACCACCGCCTTATCGCTGGACCCCCTTTTGGGTCAACCAGAACATGATCGCGTCGTGAAAAATCACGACGGGAGAATTTTGGCCAGTCTGGCCTCCAGGGGCCCTCGCCATCCCCAGGGCCGCCAAACAACTAATAGGATGATAAACCGATCCAGGGATAACGGTCGGGACTTCCAGGGACCGCGTATTGAAAAAATCCAGACGTGGCATGTCTGGGTCTGGACCCCTTCCCTGGGACCGACTTTTCATCCCGGATCGTTCTTGGACGGTCCCGAGACTCGGTAAGAGCCCGTCAGGCCGACATAAAGACGAGAAACCTCTGTGGTCGACTTCTTCGGGACGCCAAATGTCCGGGTCGGCCGTCGATCGTCAACCTCGCGCAGAAGGGGGCAGGGGGAGGGAGGAAAGCTTCTCAGAGGCACCCCTGCTTCTGCAAGGCGCAGGCCGTGTCCGAGAGATGCAGGGCCAGCGCCTTCTCAGAAGCACCCTCCCTCTAAGCAGCCTTCCCCCCTCCCCGACCCCCGACGCCATGATTTCTCCATTACGTGAATTACCCATCGGGAGCGGCCAAGAGGGGGGTGTGCAAGAGGGGGGGGTGCAAATCATGACCGGCGGCATGGGCGCGGCCCAGCGGTGGGGCCAGGGACGCAATGAACTAAGAAGAGGCGCCATGAAATCTGGGGAAATGTCATGGCCCCCGCCATGATATCCCCCCCCCCCCACTCATTACCCCCCTCTTTGCCGCCCCCGAACCCAGCTGCTTCGACCTATCCCCCGGGACCGGATTTTCACCCCGATCGTTCTTCTGACGGCCCCCGGGGCCAGGCGAGGGCCCCCACACGGAGGCCGAAGGAAAACCTCCCGTCGTGATTTGTGTCACGACGCGAGCATGTCTGAGTCCCGTCGTGCTTTTTTTGTTTCTCGTCGTGATTGTCTTGTTTCTTGCTTCATGCTTGTTTCTTTGTGTTTCGTGCTTCCCCCCCTCCCCCTGCCCCTTTTGTGCGCGCCGCCGACTCAGAGATCCGACGTCGTGATTCTTCCAACACGGGGCCCCCTGAAGTCTCGACCCTTTCCCCAGGACCCGTGTTTCTCATCCCGAGCCGTTTCTGGACGGCCACGAAGCCCAGCGAGGGCCCCTGGGGCCGAAACTTGCGAAAAGCCTCCGCCTTGATTTTTGAAGTGCGCTCGACCGGAGGAGGAGGAGGAGGAGGAGGAGGAGGAGGAGGAGGAGGAGGAGGAGGAGGAGGAGGAGGAGGAGGAGGAGGAGGAGGGAGATCGGGCGGAGCTGGGGCCCGGGCGTAGGTGGCCTTCTGCTGCTCGATGGACTCGGGGTCCGGGATGCCCTCGGCCAGCCGCGGCGGCGGCGTGGGCCTTCACCGCGCGTCGTTGGGCGCCGGTGTCGTACGTCGTCGTCGAACGTCGTCGTCGTCGTTGTCGTCGTCTTCGTCGTCGTCGTTGGGCGTCGTCGTCGAACATCGTCGTCGTCGTCGTCGTCGTCGCACGTCGACGTCGTCATCGTCATCGTCGTCGCCGTCGTCGTCGCTACCGGTGCCGACACAGAATGATGCCGCAGAAAGATGGGGCCCAAAACTGTGCTCGATCTTTACGATGTTGCAGGCTTTCCGTGACGTCGGCTCTCAAGATCGTCGTCGTCGACGACATTGTCTTTCTGCGTCGTCGTCGTCGTTACTGGCGTCGCCGTCGTCGTCGTTGTCATCATCGGCGACGTCGTCGTCATCGGCGACGTCTTCGTTGTCGGTGACCACACAACTTTTCACCACGGGCGATTTGACATTGCTTCGAGACCCACGGCCATCACGGGTGATCCGGCTCGAATACAACAGAAAGATGGGGTCCAAGGCCAAGTCGACTTTCTAAGATTCTGTACTGCAACTTTCGGTGGCGTCGGATCTCAGGGTCATCGTCGTCGCCGTCGCCGTCGTCGTCGACATCGTCGTCGTTACTGTCGTCGTCGACAATGTCGTTCCCGTCGTCGTCGACGTCGTCGTTGACGTCGTTGTCGCTGACGCCGTCGTCGCTGTCGTCCGGAAGCGGGGGGAGGGGGGAGAGGGGGGGGGGGAAGAGGCAGGAGGGAGGGTGGGGGGAGCAGGCAGAGGAGGGGGAGAAGGGAGAAGGGGGGGCGGAAGGGGGCGAGGAGGCAGGTGAAGGAAGGAGGTGGGCGGCGAGGAGGAGGGAGGGCTGGGAGGGAGAGGGCGGCTCGAGGCTCTAGGCTCTCGAGGCCTCTGGCGTGCCTCTCGCCCTCTCTTTGGAGACAAAGCCTCTGGGCCTCTCGGGGGGGGGGCTGCGTGCGCGCTCGTGGCCCCTGCGGAGGCGAAGGCCCCGGAGAAAGAGGAGGAGGGGGCGGGAGGAGCAGGGAGGAGGGAGGAGGAAGAGGAGGAGGGAGGGAGGAGGGAGGAGGAGGGAGGGGGGGGAGGGAGGGGAGAGAGGAGGGAGGGAGGGGGGGGGGGATGGAGGAGAGGGGGGCGAGGAGGAGGGAGGGAGGGGGAGGGGGGAGAGGAGAGCGAGGGAGGGAGGGAAGGAGGACGAGGAGGAGAGGTAGGGGGAGGGGTCCGGCGGACGAGGACAGAGAAAACGACCAGAGAGAGAGAGAGAGAGAGAAGTGGAGAGCGAGAGAGAACGCCGATGACGTGAATCGATGCCAAACGATGCAGATCCAGACAGATCTAGGCAAGTCCAGAGAAGTCCAAATAAGACTGCAGACATTCGCAGAAGAACCAGCGAGAGTCGAGGGAAAGCCGGTAGCCCCCGCGGAGGTCCCGAAGAGGACGAAGAGCGCACCCCCCAAAACGACAGCTCTCGAACCTCGGACCCTTCCGGCCAGAACCCCCTCAAACAACCGTCTGCGGACCCCTCCTGAGATCTCGGCGGCACGCGACGAGTGACCCTACGGCCCAGACATGCGACGTTCTGATGCTTCTCATGCTTCTCAGTCCTCGCCCTCCTCCTCCTCCGCCTCCTCCTCCTCCCTCCTCCTCCTCCTCCTCCTCCTCCTCCTCCTCCTCCTCCTCCTCCTCCTCCCTCCTCCTCCTCCTCCTCCTCCTCCTCCTCCTCCTCCTCCTCCTCCTGCCTCCTCCTCCTCCTTCCTCCTCTCCGCCTCCTCCTCCTCCGCCTCCCTCCTCCTCCTCCTCCTCTCCTCCTCCTCCCTCCTCCTCCTCCTCCTCCTCCTCCTCCTCCTCCTCTCCTCCTCCCCTCCTCCTCCTCCTCCTCCTCCTCCTCCTCCTCATCCTCCTCCCTCCTCCTCCTCCTCCTCCTCCTCCTCCTCCTCCTCCTCCTCCTCCTCCTCCTCCCTCCTCCCCTCCTCTCCTCCCCTCCTCTCTCTCCTCCTCCTCCTCCTCCTCCTCCTCCTCCTCCTCCCTCCTCCCTCCTCTCCTCCTCCTCCCCTCCTCCTCCTCCTCCTCCCTCCTCCTCCTCCTCCTCCTCCTCCTCCTCCTCCTCCTCCTCCTCCTCCGCCTCCTCCTCCCTCCGCCTCCCTCCTCCTCCTCCTCCACCTCCTCCTCCTCCTCCTCCTCCCTCCTCCTCCTCCTCCTCCTCCTCCTCCTCCTCCTCCCTCCTCCTCCTCCTCCTCCTCCTCCTCCTCCTCTCCTCCTCCTCCTCCTCCGCCTCCTCCTCCTCCTCCTCCGCCTCCTCCTCTCCTCCTCCTCCCCTCCTCCTCCTCCCCTCCTCCTCCTCCTCTTCCTCCTCCTCCTCCTCCTCCTCCTCCTCCTACCTCCTCCTCCCTCCTCCTCCTCCTCCTCTCCTCCTCCTCCTCCTCCTCCTCCCCCTCCCCCTCCTCCTCCCAGAAGTCCCGACCCTCTCCCCGGGACCGATCTCTCCTCCTGGGTCGTCTTAATAGCGGCCTCGCGGGGCCCGGCGAGGGCCCCCCGGAGGCCGCGCAGGACTCGAAGCCCCCCGCCCCGAGAGCCCTTCGCGGCGCGACCTCGTAGTCCTGGGAGGCCAGGAGTGGCCTTAAGTCGGGCAAGGAGGGGCCTTAAGTCGGGCAGAGGGGGACCTTCGACGAAAACCCCCCCCCCCAAAAATGGAATCCAAACATACTACAGAAATCATATGGGGACTATGTTTTGAATATGTGTTGGCCTTTTTCGTGCATTTTGGGGGTATTTGTTGTCCGCCTACAGAGGGATTTTCGACGAAAACTTTAAAATACCTCAAAACATAGCCCCCATATTCTTAACATAGTCCCCATATTATTTTTTATTGATTATTGTTGGATTACTTTGGGGGTATTTTTGTTTTTCGTCGAAAATCCCCTTCTGTAGGGGGACACGCCCGACAGAAGAGTGGCCTGCTCGGCGCGCGGCCTGCCGGCCGCTGCCTGCGGCGCAACGGCGGCGGCCCGCGTGCGCTCTCTGGGGGCGCTTGGCCCGCCGCGCCCCGCCCGAAGGAGCTGCGCACGGGAGGCCACTCCGCGAGTCACCCGAAGCGATGCCACAGCAAGTCAGTACCAGTACCAGTGCCAGTCCCGCGCTGCAGGCACCTCCGTGGGTGCAGCGGGTGGGCGCCAGGGCGCGGGCAAAAGATGGACCGGCCCCTCAGAAGCTGGAGTCGCGCCGATAGGGGGCCACATGCGAGCCCTACCCCCACCTTCCACGATTTCTGAGGGGAGGGTGGGGTTCACTTCGCTCGGGAGCCCCCTAACGAAGTGAACCCCACCCTCCTCCTCAGAAATCGTGGGGGTAGGGGTAGGGTTCGCATGTGGTCCCCTAGCCGAAGCTGGAGAGCCATCGGAAATGGGAGCGGGCGCCAGAGTCGTAGAAAATGGGAGCCGGAATCGGGGAGGCGGGGCCAGGAGTCGGAAATCGGCACGACTGTGCACCAAAGTCGGGGGAGCGGGAGCTGGAGTCGGAGCCCGAGGCGGAGAGGTGGGAGCCGGAAATGGAGAAGCAGGAGGCGGAGCCGGAAAAACAAACACGGGCGTGGGGAGCCGGAGTCGGAGAGATTGGAGCCGGAGTCAGACAGATGAAAACGGGCGTGGGGAGCTGGAGTCGAAGAAGTAAAAGCCAGAGTCGGAAAGACCAGAACTGGCGCCGGAGTCGGGGAATCGGGAGTCGTGTCGGCGAACTGATGTGGATGCCGCGGGTGCCACGCCGGGGTCGGAGGCCAGAGTCGGAAGCCGGAGCCATGATCGATGGGGCGACGTTGCGCGCATGTGGTGGGAGCACTTGGGCTGGGGTCGGAGAAAGGGGGACCAGAATGGAGCTGGAGTCGGAAGGATCGAATCCAGGGTCGGTGGTCAGAGTTGGTTCACGTATCCCTCCCGAGTATATCCCAGTTCTCCGCGGCGGCCATGCCGAGAATGTGTGAGGTAGGGAAGGGAGATGATGAGGAGGACGGGAATGTGTTGAAGGCTGGTGAGCTTGCTGCCGTTGTCTCCTCGTCACAAACTTTGCCCCCATACGGACGTATATCGTGTAGCCATCTCTGCTAGGGCCGCAAGGGACCGCAACGTCGTTAAAAACAAAAACCCAGGCCAAGGACCCGACCAGATGCAGCTATGAGAACCGCGCTTGTGAATGTCGCCTTCAGTGGGGCCACAGAATGCGTGAGAGGTGTACCAAACATGGCTTGGGGGCGCATGTGGGCCCTGCCACTGGGGCCATCGGTGAAGCTCCCGATGGGGCCACGAAACGTGTGAGGGGTGGGCCGAAATCTGTGGCGGGAACGCATGCGAGCTGTGCCATTGGGGCCTCAGGTGGAGCTCCCAGCGGGGCCACGAAGCGTGTAGGGGGGGTGCCGAAATATGCGGGGAACAGCATTCGATCCCCCTCCCCCCTGAGGGCGAAGGTGGAGTTTTCAATACGGCCACGAAGCGTGAGGGGTGCGCCGAAATCGGCGGGGGACCACATGCGAAACCCGCCTCCTGGATGTCGGTGGAGCTCCAAGCGGGGCCACGAAACGTATGAGAGGTGTGCCGAAGTTGGTTGGGAACATGGGGCCACGAAGCGAGAGGGTTTGATGAAATGGGTGGGGAACCGCATGCGAAATCCCTCTCCTGGGTGCTTCGATGGAGCTCCCCGTGGGGCCGCGAGAAGCCTGTGAGGGGTGTGCCAAAATGGGTGAGACCCGCTGGCGACCCCCCCCTGAGGGTGTCGGTGGAGCCCCATTGCTGGGGCCACGGAACGTGTGAGGAGCTACCGCGCGCACAAAACAACTACAGCAGCGCACAGACAAAGATCGGCCGGAGCCCTGGACCCCATCTTTTTCTTGTTGGTGCTACAACTGCGACACCAAGAGTGCCCTGGAGAGCTGTGTGAAACCGTCAGGAAAAGTTGCGAGTTGTGTTGCTGCATGTTTCGCGCCGCATCCACCCATGAGGGTTGAGCAGGGACTGACCGACCCGCCATTCCGAGAGGCCTACCAAAAGAACCTCTTGGGACGAAAAGAATGTTCTAATACTACGCACAATGCTCTTAGAACATAGAGCCAATGTGTTGCAACAAACAGGCCCCAGCCAACCATGATTTGAGAGCATCTCGTGCAAACCACAAAGAGGATCCGACAGCACTCTTTGGTGGGCCGATGGGCAGACCAGGACGGTCGCCCCCTGCCTGGGAGAGCCGCGGGGCCCGACGCGAGGCAACACCGCCCGCCGCGCACAACAACCTGACGCCATGGCCGCAGGGGACGATCGGGTCGGGCGAAACGGGGGGATAGCAAAGGGGGGGTTTGAGGATCTGCTCGCGCAGCTGATCTCCCCGGCGCCGGAGGCGCCCAGGCATCGAGGGGTGGGCCCCTCTCGGTGAGGCCGAAACCAGCCGCCTGCAGCAGACTTCGTACCCCCCCCCCCTTCTCTATCCCCCCCCATTTCGCCCGGCCCCGAGACGACGGCGGCGATCGCCGACGGCCCGCGGCGGCGGCGGCGCGCGAGGACGGCTGAGCGACGCCGCCGACGTCGACGACGACGGCGCCGCGGCGAGGGGCGCGCGACGGCGCCGACGGCGCCGCGGCGGCGGCGTCCCGCGTTCAGCCGGCGCGGGCGCGCGCGGGGGCGCGGAGAGCGCCTGGCGCCCGGGGCGGGCAGGCCGCCGCCAGCGGGCGGCCCCGCGCCGAAGCCCTTTGGGGGGTGGGGGGGGGGCCAAAAGGAACCGCTGGATAATAGAAGGGCCCCAGGACACACAAATAAATACACACAACTAAAAATATTCCCCATATTTTCCCATATGTTCTAGGTTTTTGTCTTCCCCCCCACTTCCCATATTTTCCCATATTTTCCTGAGGATCGTCGATTAATTGTGTCTGTGTGTTTCTTTCCCTCCTGAGATAAGGCATCCCGGGTCTCGGACCCAGGGTCTTGGCTCCCGAGATCCCGAGTCGCCTGGCGGTTCTGATCTCTGAGATCCGGAGGTCCTGAGACCCTGGCTCCCGAGATCCAGGGGCTCGGCGAGGGCATCTTTTCCTCTGGCGGTCTGCGAAAGCAGGCTCAGTTGCACATGCGGCGGCAACGAACGAAAAGAGGAAGAAAAACAGAAACAGCGGAAGCTAAAAAAACAAATTCACCCCGCGTGGTTAACCTCAGCACCGCCAGGTTCTCGCCACGGGGCAGCATGGAGGCTCAGGGCCTGCACTGTGCTGCCGCCCTGGGCCTCGGCGAGGGCATTGGAGAAGGAACCACTGGACAAGAAGTCCAGGGTCTTGGATCCAGGGTCTTGGATCCTGAGACCCTGCGTCGCAAGGAACCATGACATAAGGAACCATGGGATCCAGGGGCTTGGACAAGGAGCATTGGATCGGGAATCCAGGGTCCTGGATGAAGGGCCAATCCCTGAGATCCTGGCAGGGCAATGTGTCTCGAGCAAGGCGTTTTGGCCTGGGCTCGGGGCCCAGGATTTTCGCAGATCGGATTGGGCTGGTCATGATTCTTGGCCATGCTTCACATGTTCTGCAATGTCGGATCTCAAGGTTGGATGAGGAATCCAGGGGCTGGAAGCCGGTTGTACTCCAATCGTGGATTGGCCATGGAAATCACCACCGCCCTCATCAGATACGGAATCCTCCAGAAACTGTTGCCTCCTAGGCACATTCCTTACCCAACGCCCCCATAGTGAGATACGCGTGCCCAGATATCGCCTGATTGGACAACGAAACAGCAGAGCAGAAGGTTTTCACCATGTTCGGCGTCTGGGGGGCCCTTCCGCCCATCTCCCGCCGATCTGTTCGGCTGCAGGCCCGCCGCTATTCTACCTTCTGCCCGCCATCCGTCGATCCTGGGCATCCACTAAGTGTTGATATGTGCCCCGCACGCGAGGCCACTCCAACCCTCGACCGCGTCGCAGGGCCCAGCTGCGGCTGCCCATCATCCAGGTCGTTGCGTTCACGGCCCGGGAGCCCAGCAACGGCCGACCGAAGCGTGCCGAAATAGGTGGCGGGGACGCACGCGGGCGGCACAATTTGGGCCCTGGGTGGAGCCCCCTGTGGGGCCACGAAACGTGCGAGGGGTGTGCCGAGCGGGGTGCGGGGACGCATGCGGGCGGCACCATACGGGCCTTGGGTGGAGCTCCCTATGGAGGCCACGAAACGTGTGAGAGGCGTGCCGACATGGGTGGCGGGGACGCATGCGGGTGGCAAAATTTTGGCCTTGGGTGGAGTTCCATATGGGGTCACAAAACGTGTGATGGGTGCTAAGGATGGGAGGAGGGAGGAGGGGAAGGAGGAGAGGAGAGGAACGCGGGGCGCCGTCTCTTCAAAACGAGAACCCAACACCACAATATGATTGGGAAAACCATTCGTTCCGATTTTGTTCTGGACTCTGGATGTCTGGGCTCCGAGCCCGCCCCCTGACTCACAAGCCTCGTCCCGCTCCTCGTCGTCGTCGTGGTCATCGTCCTCGTCCTCCTCCTCCTCCTCGTCGTCGTCGTCGTCGTCTTCGTCGTCGTCGTCGGCGGCGGCGTCGTCGTCGTCCTTGTCGTCCTCGCCGCCACCGCCGCCACCGACGCCGACGCCGCACGTCGTCGTCGTCATCCTCGTCCTCGTCCTCGTCGTCCTCGTCGACGCTGCCGCCGCCGCCGCAGCCGCCGTCGTCGAACGTCAACGTCGTCGTCGAAGGTCCTCGTCGTCGTCGTCGTCGTCGTCGTCGTCGTCGTCGTCGTCGTCGTCGTCGTCGTCCTCGTCGTCGTCGTCGTCGTGGTCGTCCTCGTCGTCGCCGCCGCCGCCGCCGCCGTCGCCGTGGTCGTCCTCGTCGTGGTCGTCGTCGTCGTCGTCGTCGTCGTCGTCGTCGTCGTCGTCGTCGTCGTCGTCGTCGTCGTCCTCGTCGTCGTCGTCGTCGTCGTCGTCGCCGGCGGCGTCGGGGCGCGCACGGGCGGCCGCCTGCGGGGCCGCCGGTGCCCCGGCCCCTGCGGCCTGCCGGGGTGCAGCGCGGGCGGGGAGGCCCGGGGCGGGCCGGTGGGGGAGGGAGGCGCCGCGCACAGAGGGTTTTTTTTCTGCATTTTTGGTGTATTTTTACTTTTCGTGCATGTTTGGGGTATTATTTCGTGCATGTCTGGGGTAAATTCTATTTTTCGTCAGTGCGGTGACTCCTCGACCCCTGAGGCGCAGAGGTCGGCACAAGCGGCTTGCAAGGCAGTGGGGCGCTGGGGGGGATCGAGGGCGAGGGGGTCGAGGGAGGCGGTGTCGAGGGAGGGTTGGGGGGGTCGAGGGAGGGGGGGAAGGGGGGGTCGAGGGAAGGGGACGAGGTGGGGGGTTCGAGGGCGGGGCGGGGGGGTGATGAGGGAGAGAGGGGAGGAAGGGGGAGAAGGCAACGGCGGGCGGGAGGAGGAGAGGGCGGAGGAGGAGGGGGCCCAGGGAGGGGGAACGAGGACGAGGAGGGGCTGCAGGAAGCCCAGGCTGCAGGCAGCAGGAGGGGGCACGGCGCAGCCGCCGCAGCAGCGGGTGCAGCACGCGCAGCACTTTGGGCGGCGCTGGCTGGACTTCGCCGCTCAGCCCCTCAGCGGCTCATGGGGAAACCGAAAGGTACCGATACCGCCACTCCCCGGACCTCTCCCGGGGCGCGCCCTGGCCAAGATTTCGAGGCGAATCCGGCGGCGGCGGCGACGAGGGCCTCCCAGGAGGCCGAACGAGAAGGAAAAGAGGCGAGGGTGTAGCGGCATGGGTACCCCTTCCCCCTCCGAGCCCCCCCGAGCTCCGCCGCTCAGCCGCTCAGCCCCGCAGCGGCCTCCGCCAGCAGGCGCCTGCAGGCCCCGTGGGCCCGCGCGGCCGCCAGGCCCCAAGTGAGCCCGGCTTCCCGCGCGAGCCACCACGCCCGCCACGGCGCTGGCAGCTCCTGGGCGACGGCGCCCGCCGCCTCGAGCACGGCCTCCAGCGCCTGTGAGTTGAGAGCGGCATGTCTTGCGCGAGCACACGTGGCGGCCTCACGCCGCGGCCTGCGCGGGCCGCCGGCGCGGCACATCGAGCGGAGAAGAGGGCGCTCACGCGCGACCTTCCGCGGGAACCCTGCGCGCGCCTGCGCTCGCCATCGGCCTCGCCGCCTTCTGGCGCCCACATGTCTTTCGACCTCCCACGCCCTCTGGGCGCAAGGCGTGGCAGGAGGAGGTCCATGGGGGCGCGGGCCAATCCCCGGTGCCCACGAGATCCGCACGGCCCTCCAGAATTGAGCAGGGACCGACCGTCCCGGCATTCCTATGGTCCTGCCACGAGATGTTCTTAGAACCCAAAAACGCTCTAAAAACAAAAACAATGTTCTTATAACATACACCCGATGTGATAAAACGAGACAGACTCCGCCAGAAATGTTCCAAGAACACTTCGTGGAAGCCACAAAAGGTTATCAGAACTTTGCTTGGTAGGGCTGGAGGCGAGCCAGGACGTTTCGCCACTGCTTGACGGAAACTTACGACCGCCACCCTCCACCTCCATCATCCATACCTTCCGACCTCTGCGGAAGGCGCGGAGGGTGATGCATTGAAACGATTGAGAGCCTCGGGAAGCGCAAGAAAACTCAGCGTTCCACGAAGCGCAAGAGAGGGGAAGGCCAGCACGAAAGGTCTGGAAGAATGAGGCAAGGGCAACCCGTGCGGCCCCCACCGAAGACACACCGACCGCGGAGGCGGCGGAGGCGCTGCCCTGGCCACGGCGAGCCCCAGCCACGCCTGGACTCCCCGGCCTGGCCAGGGAGCGGCCCGGGAGGCCGAGCCCCTCCCGAGCCCAGAGGGTTCGTGGGAAAAACATACACACACTGTGGGACAAAAGTCACACACACACATACACACACAAACAAAACACACTGTGCGAAAACACACACACACAAACACACACACACACACACACACACACTCTCTTTGGAGAACAAACACACATTGTTGGGAAAAACACACTGTGGGGGAACAAAAACACATTGTGGGGACAAAACACACAGTGGGGAAAAAACACACACACACACAGTGTTGTTTTTCCCACAGTGTGTTTTTTTCCCCACAGTGTGTTTGTGTGTGTGTGTTGTGTGTTGTGTGTTGTGTGTTGTGTGTTGTGTGTTGTGTGTTGTGTGTTGTGTGTTGTGTGTTGTGTGTTGTGTGTTGTGTGTTGTGTGTTGTGTGTTGTGTGTTGTGTGTTGTGTGTTGTGTGTTGTGTGTTGTGTGTTGTGTGTTGTGTGTTGTGTGTTGTGTGTTGTGTGTTGTGTGTTGTGTGTTGTGTGTTGTGTGTTGTGTGTTGTGTGTTGTGTGTTGTGTGTGGCGTGCGTGCGTGCGTGCGTGCGTGCGTGGCGTGCGTGCGTGCGTGGTGCGTGCGTGCGTGCGTGCGTGGCGTGCGTGCGTGCGTGCGTGCGTGCGTGCGTGCGTCCGTGCGTGCGTGCGTGCGTGCGTGCGTGCGTGCGTGCTTGCGTGCGTGCGTCGTGCGTGCGTGCGTGCGTGCGTGGCGTGCGTGCGTGCGGCGTGCGTGCGTGCGTGGGCGTGTGGGTGTGGGTTGGGTGTGGGTGTGGGTGTGGTGTGGTGTGGGTGTTGGGTGTGGGGTGGTTGTGTGTGTGGGTGTGGGTGTGGGTGTTGTGTGTGTGTAGTGCCTTGAATGCGTGCGTGCGTGCGTGCGGTTGGGGGGGGGGCGTGCGTGCGTTGGTGGGTGTGGGGTGTGTGGGTTGGGGGTGTGTGTGTTGTGGGTGTTGGGTGTGTGGGTGTGTGGGTGTGTGGGTGTGTGGGTGTGTGGGGTGTGTTTGGTGTGTGGGGTGTGTGGGTGGTGTGGGTGTGTCTGTGTGTGTGTGGCTGTGTGGTGTGTCTGTGTGTGTGTGTGGGGTGTGTGTGTGTGTGTGTGTTTGGGGTGTGTGTGTGTGTGTGTGTGTGTAGTGTTTTGGGTGTGATGTGTGGGTGGTGTGTGTGTGTGGTGTGTGTGTGTGTGTGTGTGTTTGTGTGTGTGTGTGTGTGTGTGTGTGTGTGTGTGTGTGTGTGTGTGTGTGTGTGTGTGTGTGTGTGTGTGTGTGTGTGTGTGTGTGTGTGTGTGTGTGTGTGTGTGTGTGTGTGTGTGTGTGTGTGTGTGTGTGTTGTGTGTGTGTGTGTGTGTGTGTGTGTGTGTGTGTGTGTGTGTGTGTGTGTGTGTGTGTGTGTGTGTGTGTGTGTGTGTGTGTGTGTGTGTGTTTTCCGACGGCTTCTAGAGGAAAAAGAACGATGCACATCCACCGATTCTGGCCAGCCCCATCCTGAGCCCAGGATCGGCGGTGCCATACGCCCTCCTACCTTGGCCAGGAAGGCGTATGCACCGATCCTGGCTCAAGGATAGGCCTTGCCAGGATCGGTGCATGTGCACAGTTATCTTCGCCTGAGCTTCAGAGCTCTGACGGGATCCCCGCAAGGCTCCTCGTCGTCTGGCTGTTGGAACATGCTGCGGGCCTCCGGCGACCGTTCGAGGCGATCAGGCACCTCCAGATGCCTGTCGGCCAGGCGCGGATGCTGGGAAGCATCCCGAGGCCGCGAAACCGCCGAGGACGGACAATAACATCCGAAAACCTCGAACCTCGAACCTCGAAACTTCAAACCCGAAAGGGACCTTCTTTCCGTGTTTTCTTTGTGCTCTTGCGCCACTTCCGAACTGGGACCGATCGTCCCGGCATTCCTATAGGCCTGCAACGAGATGTGCTCAAACGTGGAGACGACGTATCAAAACGAGACATGTTCTAACTCGCGCAGGCCGCGAGTCCACTCGCCTGCTCACGGGGGTCCGACTTCCTGGGGTCAGAGTTAAGTCGGGCCTGTCCCCCTACACGGGGATTTCGGACGGAAAACAACAAATACTCCAACATATCCCCACAATGCCAAAAAAAATCAAAAATAGTCCCCTGACTACTTTTTAATTATTTTTGAATATTCCCCCGGTAGAGGGACAGGCCCGACTTAAGGTTAGAGTCAGCGACAGGCAAACTGAACACGTACATAAATACTCGCTACGGCCAAGAAGTTCCAACGGAACCGCCGGGGAACAACAACAGGATTGCACAACTCTCGAGAGGGAACGCGGCTCCGGAGAAGCAACGTCCAGGGCATCCAGCTCACCTTTTCCTGACCCCCAAAAGACTGACACCCATTAGCAAACGAAGGACGGAAAGTTCTTCGAATATTCTTGGTGGGCCTATACAAACAGGCCAGGTAGACACACACACACACATTGATAGATACAAACTTCAGGATCCCCATGTGTTCTTTGATATTTTCTGGATTTCAGTCTTCCCCTCCGCTTCCCACATGTTGCCACGGCTTCATGGGAATCGACGTTTCTTGGCGTCCGTGCCGATTTTCGGGAGCGGCCAAGAGGGGGGTGTCCAAGAGGGGGGGTGCAAATCATGACTGGCGGCATGTGCACGGCCCAGCGGGGGGGCCAGGGACGTAATGAAACAAGAAAAGGCGTCATGAAATCTGGGGCAATATCATGGCCCCCGCCATGATATCCCCCCCCCCCTAGTCATCACCCCCCTCTCCGCCGCCCCCGAGATGTAGCCGTGTGCTTTTCCTCGGACGTTCTGCGAAGGCGGGCGGTCTTCTGAGAAGGCAGGGGGCCTCCTGGAATCTTGGAATACTTCCTGGCTTCTGAGGAGGAGGAGGAGGAGGAGGAGGAGGAGGAGGAGGAGGAGGAAGAGGATTTCTTTCCCTCCTGGCCACGGGCCGGCCGGGGCGCTTCGCCCCGGCCTGCGCTTGGTCCCTCGAGCCTCCGCGCGCAGCGCCCGCGCCGGCCCCAGCGCCGCCTCTGGGGAGGGGGGCAAGGACTTAAGTGGGCTCCGGAAGCGGCAGGGCCGTTTGTGCACCGTTTCCACAAAAATGTCCCTTCAACAGGGAAACGGCAAAAAAACAGCGACCGGAAACGGCAACAAAAACAGCTGCAGCCCCGGAAACGGCAAGGATTTTGTGGGCCCCAGAAGCGGCAGGGCCGTTTGTGCACCGTTTCCACAAAAGTGCCCCTTGAAAATGGAAGCGGAAAAAAAAAACGGCGACCGGAAACGGCAACAAAAACGGCTCCAGGATGGGAACCGGAGCCAGAACCGGTCAACAAGAACGGCGACGGCACCGGCAACAAAAAACGGCGTCGGAACCGGCAAAAAAACGGCAAAACGGATCCGGTAACAAAAACGGCCCTGTCGTTTCCAAGGCCCACTATAAGGGCAAGGAGTCCGGCGGGTGGCCGTGCGGGGTGACTGGCCCTGACCCTCCAGAGTGCTAATGCAAGCAGCTGGATCCAGACCTACAGACCGATCTGGACTGATGGAGGCCTCGCCCAGGCGTCAGATGTCGAGGCCCTGGTGCTGTTTTGGAGCCCTCGGCAGGCAGGTCGGGGCAAACGGGGGGTGAAGAAAAAGAAGAAGGGCACTGTCTGCTGGCTCCAAACGGGGCCTAAAGGTAAAGGGTCCCTCCAGGGCCCTTTTCTTCATCCCCTATGTAGGTCCCCACCCATTACCACCCGCCCGAAAGAGAACACCGACACACCGCTGCCCTCTCTGGACCTATCCAGGGGAGCGCTCTGGCCAGGAGCTCGAAGGTGGCCAGAGATCTGCATCTTGCCGTCGCTCGGACGTCTATTTCCCGTGCATTTGTCGATTTCGTGCGTGTTTTTTTTGATCGATGGTCCAGGATGGTCCTCGATGGTTCGCGCTGAGAAAAAATGCTCACGTCCGAGCGATGCCAAGTCGAAGGTGGCTAGAGATCTGCATTCATTCTCGGCGGTTTTCGAACGTTCTCGTTGGGGCCTGGCGGTTTTCGAGCCTCGGGGTACTTCCTAGCAGCTGCGCCTCGCCGAGGGCGTTCCGGGGGGGGGGGGGGGGGCAGAATCGTCCCGAACGGCCCCCACAGAGACGAGTTGTGACCCGAAAAAAATCTCAAAAGGGTTCGGCCGACCCTGAGAACCTGGTGCTTCTGTTTTGTCCGCATCGGGCGGTGTCACCTCGGTTCGGGCCCTGGGACCCTCACTGATCGATCCTGCCCGAAGAGATGCCGCAGAGAGATGGGGTTCGATTTTTGTTGGGGGGCGACGTCGGATCGCGGGAATGGAAAGCAGAGGCGATGGCGTACGGTCGGAAACTTTAGCACAGCGTGTCGCGACGGCGGCCCTGACGGCACGCTGTGCTCGCCAAGCGGATAGCGTGTCGCTGCGCTCCGCGGGCCGGGAGGCCAGGCATGGCATGTCGGCCGAAGCGTGGCGGGCCAGAACAGGCAGAGCGGCACGGCTTGCCAAACCTCCTGACCGCGTGCCCCTCGCCCAAGGGAAGAGAAGGGCTGCATGAGCATAAACTGTCGGACTTCACGCATCTGCGCTGAGCCCCCCCCTCCCCGGCGCGCGGAGTGCGCCGGAGGCGCCGCCAGAGGCGTCGCCAAAGGCGCCGCCAGAGGCAGCGCCAGAGGCGCCGCCGGAGGCTCCGCCAGGGGAGCCGAGTGCCGATCCAAGAACTCCGCGCGGAACTTCGGAAGTTTAGATGTCTGTGCCGTTTTTGCTGCATGGGGGAAGCGGGTCCTGAGGGAGACGGGTCCTGGACCCCGGGGCCTTCCCCAGGGATGAGACGTCCTCATCCCGAGTCGTGCTCTGACCCTCCCGGGGCCCCTATGAGAGGGCCCTCGCGAGGGCCCGAAAACTGTGGAAAAAACTCCAGGGCCCGCGTCTCTCCGGACCCGTCTCCCCCAGGGCGAGTGCCTCGGCTGCACGCAGGGAGTGGCCCCCATTCTTCCAGACTTTCCGTGCTGACCTTCCACATGCGCTTCGCGAAACGCTGACTTGTCTTGCGTTTCCTGAGGCTTTTCGTAGTTTCAATGCGTCAGCTTCCGCGCCTTCCGCAGACGTCGGAAGGTATGGAAGATGGAGGTGGAGGGCAGGAGTGGCCCTGGGTGAGAGTGGCCTTTGCCGCGCGGCTCTTTGGGAGCCGCGGGGAGACCAAACACGAGCAGACAAGACGCTACAAGCGCACCGCGCTCGGCGATCGGGGGACCCCGGTGGGCCCGCACCAAATCGGACGCTCAGAGACATACTAATACTGTATGTCCTCCTTGGAGGCGCGCGTCCGACCCGAACAGATAGTATACCCATCTTGTAGTATATTGCTTCCCCAGCGGTGTGGCCAGAAAGCGCCCGCCACGACGCATGTACTATAAGATGTCTCGGTGCGCGCGTCGCCCCTGGGGGGTCGACGCACATATGGTATAATTAAGTATGTTGGGGTGATGCCGACCGAAGGTCACGCCGGCGAAGGGCCACTCTCACGTGTATAGTCGAATGCCTTCTTGCTCGATCTCCTGGGCCTTCGGGGATCTTCTGACCCAGGGCAATCCAGACCAGGGTCAGCAGGAAACCCAAAAACTGCAATGCAGGAAAAAAAAAAAAAAACTGCAACGCAGGTCTTCGCAAACCCAGGTCAGCCAATGTGCGCGACCGCCCCGCGGCCACGAGCGGCTCGCGAACCCGGGTCAGCCAGAGAGGTTTCGCAGCCTCCTGCAGGATCCGGTGCCCTGGCTGACCCCCGTTTGCGCCGACCCCCGTCCTCGCCATCGCTCGGACGTCCATTCCCTGTGTTTTTTGTCGGTTTCGTGCGTAGTTCTTTCGCTAAATGATCAAGCATGCTCCTCGATGGTCCTCGCCGAGAAAAAATGCACACGTCCGAGCGATGCCAGGCGTCTCTGAGGCCCCGAGGCCTCCTCGCCAGGCCCGGGCGCCGGCGCCGCCGCGCCCGCCGCCAGCTCCTGGGGAGACCGAGAGGGGCCTGTCCCCATGGGCGCGCTCTGGCCGGGAGCTCGAAGAGAGAACCCAGCCGCGGCGACGAGGGCGTTCCAGGAGGCCCCACAAGGCCCAGGCGAGGCAAGGGCAGCAGTATCCCCAGAGGTCCAACGTATTGAAAAATCAAGGAAGAGGTTTTTCGCTAGTTTCGGCCCCTATAGGGGCCCTCAAAAACGATTCAGGACGAAAAGCCGGTCCTGGGGAATGGGTCGAGACCTCCCGGGACCCGTCTCGAAAAAATCACGACCTCGGATCTCTGGGTCGGTACCCCTTCTATGAAGGGGCCCTGGGACACACAAATAGATACACACAAATGGCAGGATTCCCCATCGTTTCCTATATTTTCTGGGTCTTCGTCTTCCCCCCACTTCCCCTATTTTCCATTTTTCCTGGGAGTCGACGATTATTCCAGATCTTCCATATTTTCCATGTTTTCCTATATTTTCCATATTTTCTATATATATATATATATATATATATATATATATATATATATATATTCCCCCCTTCCCATATTTTCCATACTTTCCAATGTTTTCAATATTTTCCTGTCTGTGTGTTTTTCTCCCCTCCCGATTCTATGCGAGGGCGGCGCCCGCGCACCGCTGCCCATGCGTGGGCTCCCTTCTCGGGTGTACCGCTTCAGCGCGGCACGGGTCGCACCGTTTTCTTCCAGCCCCGGAGCCGAGGGAGAGCAATGCACCGTTGAAAAGGCCCTGGGACACACAAATAAATGCACACAAATAGAAAGATTCCCCATGTTTTCCTAGATTTCCTGTGTTTTTGGGGCTTCCCCCCCACTTCCCATATGTTCCTGCATTTTCTGGGGAATCGACGATTAATTGTGTCTGTGTGTTTCTTTCCCTCCTGAACCGTACCGTACCTGGGTCGAAGGTCGAAGACGCCTCGGGAGACGCCAACGCTGTACGGATTTCCCTCCTCTGGTGGAGGGGGAGAAAACAGGGACCATGGCCAAGACGGAACGCGGAAGCTTCGTGCCGATCTTGGTCACCGTCGATCTTGGTCAGCGTCAGTTCGTAGACCGGTATCGACACATCCTCGGGGGCGCACAGACATGGATCAGCGACCCATGGATTTGACGCGCGGTCGCCTAATCCATTGATCGGGGCAGGCGCCCTCCCCAAAAGGCGGCCGGTGCCGCCTCGTTCGGCGGCGGAAGTCCACGATTTCCCATAAAAACGGGACCCGTCGCTAATCCACGCCCCCTTGATCCATATTTGCGATCGCCTGAAATACCCCCGACACCTTGGTCGTGGTCCCCGTGTTTCTGAAGGGGCCCTGGGACACGCAAATAAATAGACACAGATAACAGGACTCCCCATATGTTCCACTATTTTTGTTCAGGGTTTTCGTCTTCCCCCCCCCACTTCCCATCATACATTCTGGGGAATCGAGGATGCCTCCAAGGATGCCGTGTCCACGGCTCCCACGCTTCGGCAGCCAGGCCAGGGGGGCGTTGGAAGGCCCCGCGCCAGAGGCAGGTGGCCTTCCCTGCCGCGCAGGCGACGCTCGCCTTCGGCTACCAATACTGTCTGGCCGCCCGGAAAAGTGCCGCATGACTCACGACATGCATGCACAATGGCCCCATGGGAGTGGATGGAGAGATTACCAGCCAGGAACACATCCCTATCCCTATGCCGGGCATCTCCTCATCACGATGCCAATCTCAGGGATTCCCTTGAGGGGGCCCGGGCGGCCGCCAGGGTTCATTGTGTCTGTGTGTTGTTTGTTCCTTCCGGAGTCTCTTTCGGCGGTGGACAAACCCCCCTTTCGTAGACCTCCCCTTAGCGAAAACGGCCTTGGACCGAAGCGGACGGACCTGGACCCGCAGAAAGGACGGCCGCGGCGCCCTCTCGCGAACCGAACACGGCCAATTCCTACGGCCAATTCCTTACTCGACGTGTCAGGGTAGGAGGTCTGTCCACCCCCGATTCAATGTGTCTGTGTGCTTTTTCCCCTCCTGATTCTGCGAGGGCGGCGCCCCTGCACCGCTGCCCATGCCATACGGGCTCCCTTCTCGGATATACCGCTCCAGCGCGGCAGGAGTCGCACAGTTCTTCCAGCCCCGAGCCGAGTGACCCTCCACCTCCATCTTCTATACCTTCCGACCTCTGCGGAAGGCGCGGAAGGTGATGCATTGAAACTATTGAACGCCTCAGATGTGTTGTTGTTCCTTCCTGGGATTCTTCTCTCGAGCTGAGCTCCCCCGCCCACGCCAGCAGCAGCCGCAGCGCGCCGTGCAGCTCCGCCGCCCGCGGCCGCAGCGCCTCCGGCAGGCCGCCGCCGCCGCGCAGGAGCCGCAGCGCCTCCGCGGCCTCGCCCGCGGCCTCCGCGCCCTGCACGCGGAGCGCCAGCAGCAGCTCCTGAGCATCGCTTGACCGATTTCTATGTCCACTGGCGTGGCCAGGGCTGAAGGGGCCCCAGGACACACAAATAAATACACACAAATAAAAGGATTCCCTATATTTTCCCATATTTTCTGGGTTTTTGTCTCCCCCCCACTTCCCATACTTTCCCATATTTTCCGGGGACTCGACGATTACTTGTGTCTGTGTGTTTTTTTACCTCCTGACTTCTACGAGCCGATCTGCCCCCCCCCCCTGGATGAGGAGCAAGGCCGTCCCCTTCGGGCTTCGAGGTGCCTGTCCCCAACGGGGGTGGTGGGATGGTGGGGCTGAGACACCATGGCCCGGTGGGGATGGGGATCCAGTCGGGTTGCTGAAGTACGGAACGCTGAATAAGGAACGAAGCCCCGTTTTGGCCCCAGAAGCGCCTGGGTGCACGTGGAGGGCTACAGTCAACCCGTGTGATACGAACGCATGATGAGGATGCAAGGGCCTTGGAAGGCTATGTCGACACGCTGCGAGCGGGGCAGGGCCAGCGAAAGCGGCCAAGGATGTGCCAAAGGTCACCTGGGAACGTCGCTCCTCCTTCCTGTGTGGGCTGCCTGCAGAGAAACAGCCACGGAAGGACCTGAGGAACATCGAGCCCCTTCCGAACCCAAAGCGGGTCTTCTTTCAGCGCCGTGGCTGCAGGTTCAACGGCGCCGAACGCTCCCCCGCGGGCCCGCCCAGCGGGCCGAGCGCCGCCGCGGCGCCCGCGCGAGCCGCCGCGGCGGCGCTCGGCCGCAGCGCTGGCGGCGCGCCGCCGCCGCGCGGCTCCGCGCCGCCGCCGCGCGGCCGCGGGCCGCTCGGCACCGCCTCCGCGGGCCCCTCTGCGCCGCGCAGCTCCGCCGCGCCGCAGGCGCCGCGCAGGCGCGCGAGGGCGAGCTGCAGCAGCTCCGCCCCCGCGGCGGTCGCGGGCGCCGCCAGCGGGCAGACGGGGCCCCCGTGGGGGTTGCGGGGCAGCACGAAGCCGTAGGCGAAGAGCAGCTGCTCGTTGCCTCGGCCGCACGCTCACGGGGGCGGCCCTGGGCCGGAGTGGCCTCTGGGGCGCGGCCTCTCAGGGGCCCGCGAAGGGGGGGGGGAAGGGGGGGAGGGGGGGGGGGGCAAAGCCCAGCGCGCCAGGCAGTGCTGGCGGGGCCGTGACTCTGGCGAAGGGCCGCTCATGCGCCAAAAGGAAAGCAAGGGTGCATAGCTTAAACTGTCGGGGCTCTGCGCGGAGCTAATTTCTTGGATCTGCGCTGGGACACCCCTGGGGCGGCGCCTCCAGCAACGCCGCTGGCGCGCCTCGCGCGCCAGGGAGGGCCGTCCCGGCGCCGATCCAAGACATCTGCGCGGAGCTCCGAACGTTCGAGGAACAGCCGCTCGTTGCCGTACTCCCCGTAGCAGATCTTGACCTGCTCGCCGGGCGGGATGGCCCGCGACGCCACCAGCGCGGCCGAGCCGTCCTCCAGGTGCCGCACCTCCGCGTTCGCCTCGCGGTAGGAGGCCGCGTGGTTGGCCACGTCGACCACTGGCACCAGCACCACCCGACCGCTGGCTGACCAGCAGCGGCTCATGACAATGGACTGTGCCCACAGCCGCGCCTCCCAGCTGGCGGCAGTGCTGCCGCCTTCGGTGCGGTTTCGGGCAACGTACAGACAGCCCCCCCCCCCCCCGGCAGTCCCAGCTGGCCACAGCAGCCCCCCGACTAGTCTGGGGCGGTTTCAGCACCCTGGCACCGCCTCCAGCGGTGCCCCTGGGGGCGCTCCGCCCCCTAGGGCTGGGGCTGCTGGTACCTAGAGATCCGCTGTCTCGAATTGTTCAATACGGGGTCCCCAGAAGTCTCGACCTAGTCCCCAGGACCGGCTTTGCATCCAGAGTAGTTTTTCGACGGCCCCGGGGCCCGGCGAGGGCCCCCAGAGACCGAAAACGAAGGAAGAGCCTCCGCACTAAGTTTTCCAACACGCTGGATCTCTGGGTGCCGCCCTGGGCTACTCGCGGGTCCTGTGGAGGCCAGGCGGGACCACATGGGGGAACGTCCGTGCGCAACCCGAGGCCTCACTGGCCGCCTTCGGCCGCCTCCCCCTCCTCGCGGCGCAGAGCGGTCCAAAGTGACAGCGCGTGCTGCAGCACCACCGTGCCTGGAAGGGATCAAAAGATGATGCCACCAGCGCTTTCGGTCGTGAGCGGTTTGGGGAGTCTCCTCTCCCCCACGCGACCAGGCAGCCAACCAGGACCAATGCCACCCCCCCCATCCCTGTCACAAAACCGTACAACATGCACTTCGCGGCATAAATTAGGTCGGGCGTGTCCCCCTACAGGCGGATCTTGAAAAATAATCAAAAAACATGTCAAACAATGCTCAAACATACTGAAAAAAACAACAAATCAACACATCATCGCCAGACTGTTTTTGGACTATGTTTGAATACTCCTCCTGTACAGGGACAGGCCCGACTTAAGGTTAAATCTCGGGTCATGCTCGTGGGTCCCTCGAGCACATTGCAGTTTGCTTGTTGACCTGGAAGGTGGGGGGGGGGCCCTCATTACTGCCTGCCTTGCGCAAGGCCACCGTCCCTGTCAAAAAAACAATGCAACATGCACTTCGCGGCTAAAATTAGGTCGGGCGTGTCCCCTGCAAGCGGATTTTGGATGAAAAACACAACATAAACAAAACTGGTCAAACATTCGCTCCAAGATTATTCTTAAAACTATGTTTGAATCTTCCCCCTGTAGAAGGACAGGCCCGACTTAAGGCTAAAGCTGGATCATGCGCGGCCGTACCGCGATCACTTTCCATTTGTGGTTGGACCGCGAAGGTGCTGGCACATTGCCTCCTGTGTGCAGGCCCACCAGACACCATGATGGCCTCCCCGCCGCGATTGTGCGATTGTTTCCCGATGTGTGCTGTCACGTGCGCTGGCGCACCTGGCGCACTCTGCGCGTGCCCTGGACGTGGCGCACCTGGCGCGGCTGGACCATGCGGCACACATGGCGCACGTGGAGCACGTACCTCAAGAGGCCCAAAAAGGCCAGAACAAGGGAAGAGTAGCCTCACCGGTACCTTTCCCTCCTCCGAGTGCCAGACGAAAACAGGCGGGTTGCAGCCCGATGGTCACCCTGTAGTGGGCCAGGGGGAGAAAACATTGCGCCTCGTTGCCATGTTTTCCCGCCCCTTCCTCCTCCAAGATGACGTCGGGGTCGGAGGATCGCGCCACATCTTCGAGGCATCACCGATGCACCACCGATGCATCGGCGATGCATCGGCGATGCATCGGCGATGCGGCGCGATCCTCCGACACCGTCTACTCCGACCCCATCTGGGCGGCCTGGAACCTTTGCCTCCTCCGAGTGCCCCTCAGCTCCGGCGGCGGCCCGCCCGCACCGTCCACGAGCAGCAGCGGCAGACCCGGGGGAGGCCGCAGCGACCGCAGCAGCGGCGCCCACTCGGGCGTGCCGCCCGCCTCCAGCTGCAGCCACGCCGCCGCGAGGCGCTCTCGTAGCGCGCGCGAGGCGCTGGGCAGCTCCTCGCCGGGCACCAGAGGCTCGCACCGGGGGTGGTCCTGTGCGGCAGGGAAGGGTCAGGGAGCCAAACCCGCCCGAGACCCGCCAGATGACGGCGATAGAGGCGTCCTTCTCTGCAAGTCATACATCAGGTCAACACCTGGGCCGAAAGGGCAGCGGACGAGGAGACGAGGCAGGGGAGAGAGGGTACCCGCAGACGCTTCCCTGGGGCGCCCGAAGTTCCCATAATCGCTGCCATGGGCAGCCCGAAAGCACCTGCAAGGACGCCCCCCTGGGGCTTCCCCGGGTAGCCCGGAGGTATCTGCAAATACACACACAGGTCCTCCTCGCGCGCGGCCCACAGCAGAGCCGCGGGGACGTGGAGGAGCTCCGCGCCCGCGACGCAACCGCCCGCAGACGACACGCGGAGGCCCCAGCCGCAGCCAGGCGCCTCTGGGGAAACCACTCGGTACCGATACCTGTAGGCCTCTTAGATGGGGTCCCAGTAGATAAGGTCGGAGGATTGGACCGCATCGCCGATGCTTCGAAGATGCATCGGTGGTGCAATGCATCGGCGACGTCGGCCATGCATCGGCGACGTCGGCGTGCAGAACACCGGGCGGTGCGTTCTGAACAGAATGTCGAAGCAGATCCAGCGGTGGTGACCAGGCCCTCCCAGGAGGCCCAAAGAGGCGAAAACGAGGCGAGTGTGGCGGTATCGACGGTACCCGTACCCTTTCCTCCTCTGAGCCTCGGCGATCTCCAGGCCGGACCACCGGCGGCCGCCGCCAGCCTCGAGCCATTGGAGCACGTCGGCGGGGTCGCCCTGCCCGCCGCCCTGCCGCCAGCTGCGGCAGGGCGCCTCTGCGTCGCACAGCGCCGGCCCGCGGCCCGACGCCGCGGCCGCCGCGGCCGCGGCCCCCGCCGCGGCTGCGGCGGCCGCCGCCGCGCGCCGCGCCGCCGCCGAAGGTTCACCCGCGGCCGCGCCGGCTGCGGGCGCCGCCGCCGCCGCCGCGCACGCCGCGCGCGCGCCGCCGCCGAGGGCCCGCCCCCCGCGCCGCGCCGCGCGCGGCCGCCGGCGGCGGCCGCCGCGGCGAGCCTTGTCGCCGGCGTGCAGCCCGCGCGCCCGGCGGCGGCGGCGCGCGCCCTCGCGCGCGGCAGGCAGCGCCGCATCGGCCGCGAGGCCGGTGCTATGCCTGCTTCAATCTGGCGCTTGTCCTCGGCTTCTGCCTCTGCACCCGTTCTCGAGCCCAAGGGCCGATCCCGGGCGAGCAGCGACCCCCCTGCCAGGGGCTGCGGTCGGGACCTCTGGGGCCGCGCGCTAAACAAAGCGCATCCTCGGATGCCTGGGGCTGGCGCCTTCCGAGGGGGCCCGCTCCAGGTCGCAGCACGTCCCCCGGGCCCCCTGCCGAGCTTCGGGGGAGGGCCAGTCGAGACGGCGGCGGCGGCCCTGGATGGGAAGGGTGGGGGGCGACGGTGCCGTTGGTCGACGGTTCAAAGATGGATTCCTGAGGGATGGGGTCCTGAGGACGAGGTGCTTCAAACGATGCAGATCCACGTTTGAATCCCTCCATATCCTTAGGACCTCATCCCTCAGGACCGCATCTTGGAACCACCGAAATGAAGACGGTACAGGGTGGGCACCGTCTGGTATAACAGGCCACAGGGCACCATGGGAGAAGCACCATAATTCGCATAAAACATACAAGCACCATGGCTTCTACCTCGCTGACCGAGGCTGATCTGAAGGAGCAAACGACAACATAAGCATAAACGTTCGGTTCGGTGGTGCGCGCGGACGTACTGGATCTGCGCTGCATCAACCTCCGGAAGTTGATATTATGACAGTTTTTGGTTTCAGCCACTGCATTAGCAATAAACGCATTCGAAGCAGCACGCTCTCCTGTCATATCACCGCGACGGCCTCCTGGATCGGCCTCCTAGAAGGCCCTGAACACCCTACACAGGGCCCCAAATAGGGTCCCAAGGAATGCCCAAGATGGCCCCAAGTGAACCCATTCAAAAACTGTTTCGTGGGTGCCCCAAAGATGGCCCTAAGAGGCCTCCAAGAGGCTCCCCCGAGGTCGCCAGGTTGGCCATTGCTGTGCGGTGCTCGGGCCGACTCGACTCAGGCTTCGAATGAACCGTCCAACCCTGATCGCCGAAATTAAGGTCTCACCCCCTGCGGTGAACTGTGCTGTTAAATCTCCCCGCTCGGAGCATTTCGCCTGGGAACTTGCTCTGGATGGGCCGGTGGGGATGCCCTGAGGTCCAACACCACGAGAACAATGCAAAGCGTAAAAGCTCGACGAAATCCCTGGACCTCATCTTTGTGCTGCATCTTTACAGATCGACCCGCGAGGGTCCTAGGGCCCGAAACCATGCAAAATCGCACGTTGTGCAAAATTGCGACACCAGAGTCTCAGGACAGGCGATGCGGCAATGGTGCAACGCAGGGCAGCGCAAGTGCATCAGTCACTGCGGCTCTTCCGCTTGGCGCCACTGGGCAACCGCATGGCCGATTCCGGAAAGACTGCACCAAGCAGAGTTGCCACCTCTTTCGGCGGTGGACAAACCTCCTTTGAGTAAACCTCCCTTTAGTGAAAACGGCCTGGGACTGAAACCGACGGACCTGGACCCGCAAAAATAACGGCCGCGACGCCCTCTCGCGAACCGAAAACGGCCAATTCCTCAATCGACGTGTCAGGGTAGGAGGCCTATCCACCTCCGAATCTCCTGGGGATGCACGTTGTACTTCCGCCAGCCTCCCGCCCGCCTTCCGCCAGCGGACACGTCGCCGTTCTACTGCCGCCCGCTCCCGCCGACTGGGGCAGCGATGCCCACTGCTTCGGCCCCTCGAGGGCGAGGCCCGCTCTGCAGGGCCTCAGACAGGAGCAGCGAGGCCCGCTCTGCGAGGCTCGCTCTGCCAGTCAGAAGCCTGCGACGCCCCAGGGCACCGCCGGGGGTCCAGACACTGCAGACGGCCCAGAGCGCTCCCGGACGCTCTGAGAACACTCCGGAACGCCCTGGAGGAGCCGTCCCCATCCCAGGAGGAGGGGGAGGAGGAGGAGGAGGAGGAGGAGGAGGAGGAGGAGGAGGAGGGGGAGGAGGAGGAGGAGGAGGAGGAGGGGGAGGAGGAGGAGGAGGAGGAGGAGGAGGAGGAGGAGGTGGTCTGGAGAGCACATGGACCCCTGAGATCCGACGTCACGGAACAAGAACAAAAAACCATCGCCGAGGCAGTCGCTGCGGGCCGGGGCGGCCGCGCCGGCGCGCGCCCCCCCTCTTCGCGCCCCCCCGCTGCTGTGCTGCGAGTGCGCGCGCGCTCCTTCCCTCCCCCGCCCAGTCAGCCCAGCATGCCAAGCCCCACCGTGCCCAAAGTCCCATCGGGGATGGACAGAGCCCCCTTTAGTAACACGTGGTTTAGTGAAAACGACCTCAGGCCCAAACCTGGCGGGCGCAAGCCTGGAAAATAACGGCCACGGCGCCCTCTCGAGAACCGAAAACGGACAATTCACTAATCGACGTGTCACTGTTGGGGGTTCTGTCCACCCCCGATCCTAGAAAAACCGTGTGGTGACAGCCCCGGTGTTGACCTCGAAATTCCGCAGAGGCCTCGCCGCAGGGTCCGCCACCGCACAGGTGCTGGGACCCTGGAGGCTGCAATCGCCCGAGCCGTCCTCGGAGAGCGCCCCAAATCCCAAAACCGTGCGGGGACCCTGATTCCCCACCGACTCGCCACACGGTGTGGTCACCACCACGTTTGGGGGCCCCCGACTAATGCGGGATGACGATTCATAAAACGAATAGGAGAGAACGATTAAAAAATAGTTGTCTGCTATTTCTGCAGAACTTTCTGACTGGAGGAGAACGAGTAAAAAATTTTCCAGCCCGCGGCCGTTTGTTCTAATCGTCATCCCGGGCGTCGCCGCGTGAACACGACCCCCGGTCATTTATTAATCGTCATCCTCTATTAAGCCAGGGCAGAGGCTAGTGCGGCCTCCGCCAGAGCCATGGGCCCAAGCGGTGTCGGCGGCCTTCTCTGCTCGAGCCGGACCGATCTCCGCCGTGCAAGAACCGCGACGCCCGGATCTCAGGGTCGGCCCACCCCCCGAAGTTTTCGGGCCAGGCAGCCGGAAATGGGATCAAGACAAATAGAAGTAAAGAAATCTGGCCAGCTGCCCGGAAAGTATTTCAAAACAAGCCCAGGCCGAGTTCTGCGGTGAACTCCGGGGAGGGGCGAAGGCGCTCCAGGAACTGGGCCAGCCTTTCGGGAGGAGGTTTCTTAATCAGATGCTCGACCGCAACTCGGCTCTCTGGCGGCCCATGGGGACGATCCGGGCACCCCCAGAACGCACTCGGCGAGGCGCAGATGCTGGGAAGCTTCCCGAGGCTGAAACAACCGCCGAAGCCCAACGAAGACGCCCGAACACCGACGAGGAGGCCAGGATCCCTGCGCCGACGACGACGGCGCGGCGCTCCTTTTTACCCTGGGCGCGCAGGTGTGCGAGGGGCAACGATCAGGAGGGACTGGCTCAGGGGAGGGGAGATCGACCTGGAATCGGCGACACGTCGCCGATAGAGCGCCGACGGGCCCTCGGGTAGCGAACCCGCACGTTCCTGGGCGGAGCGTGGGCCTATCAGACCCCCTGTGGGCGATCGGTGGGCGACTGGGGGGTCGATGCCCGCCCCCCGAGCCTATGCCCCCCTCCTCCTTGCCCCTGAGGAGGTACCAGCCCGGCGGACGCGCAGCAGGCGCTGCCCGTTGGGCGCCGCGGCCGCTGCCGCTGAGCGGCGTGAGCGGCCCGTTCCTCCCGCGACTCGGGAGGCCGTCGAGGGCGCGCGGCATGCCGCGCGTCGTCCGCCTGCCTACCTACCAGACCACCCCAACCCAACACGAAGACCCATGCGTTTTTTCAACGTTCCCCGACCCCCCCCCACTGGAAATGGAGGGCAAATTGAGGCCTTCGGGTTGGGTTGGGGTGGTTTGGTACGTGGTGACCGCCTGCTGGATGGGGACCGGCCTCATCGAGGCCGCCCATCGGCGGCGAGCGAGGGGGGG